TAGAGATCATAATAGCACATTCCCCAAGGCTGCTGGGAGAAGTGGATGAGTTAATCCACATGAAGTCCTATGAACAGAGCTGCCACAGAGCTGTTCAACACATGTCGGGTACTAATATTAGTAGTATTATTTTCTCTGGTGGGTGGAGACATGGAGAACTTCACTTCTTACACTGTATATTTCTGGACACGTGAATTTTCACCTCTTCTGCCACCTCGTTAAGAAGGTGACATTAAAAAAAAAATTAGCCGGTCATGGTGGCGCATGCCTGTAATTCCAGCTACTTGGAAGACTGACATGGAAGGATCACCTAAGCCCAGAAGATTGAGGCTGCAATGGCCTGGAGCATGTCACTGCCCTCCAGCCTAGGCAACAGAGTGAGACTCCAATTCAAAAAAAAAAAAAAGAAGGTGACATTGAGAGATTTTCTTTTCTTTTCTCTCTCTCTCTTTTTTTTTTTTGGTCAGAAAAGATCTGGGTAATGAAAAAAAAGAGACACTTTTTTTCTTCTGAACACCACACACTCCCACCACTTGCCCATCTGTCTACTTGGAGCAGGTAGAATTTGAGGCAGGATGAAGATGTGGGCAGGCTGCAAAAGAAACTGGAACAAGAATAAGCACCAGAACAGATTTCCTTCTCTTCCCTACCGCCCCCCCCACACACACACACATCTTCCTCCTCACGTCATCCAGGGCCTCACAGCACCCACAGATATTATGTCTAATATTCTAGTCTGCCTGGCCATGGTCTCCAAACATGCTGAGAGCTCCAAGCTGCAGCTCAGCTCTAACCCTGCCCCTTTACTGCTCAGAACCTTTCCCCAGTACCCCTGGGTTCAAGGCCCTCAGGGAGGCTGCTGGGTCCATCTGTCTCAGTCTCTCCCCTGCTCTCCAGCCTCACTGGTCAGTTGACCCAACCCATGCAGTTCTCCCTTTTCCTGGTTCCTTGGAAGACTTCTTGCTCTCCCAGGATTGTCACAAGGACCCAGGACCTTTGCACATGCTGTTCCCCCTGCTTGGTACACTGCTCATCCACCTGCACTAACCAAATCCTCCATTCCTCAGAAATGCCTTCCTGATTGTCCCCTCTCCCAGAGTGGCAGACGCTCAGAGGTCGGCCTTACCTTCACTGTGCTCAGTCATCAGTATAATTATCTGGGTAATTTTGCCTCTCTCACTGGACTGGGAGGTCCATAAGCAAGGACAGAGTCTGTCCTAGTCCCCACTCTGTCCCCAGCCCCACCCAGCACAAGACCAGGCTTAGAGTTTTAATTAATCCCAGGTGGAGGTGGCAAATATTACCATACGGCATTTGGGATCAGAGTTCTGCCAAAGAAGGTGAAACAAAAGAAATCCTCCATTCACTCATTCCACAAATATGGTACCAACTCTGTGTCGTCGCTGCCCTGGTCACCAGGGATGCGGTAGTGACCAAAACAGAACTCCTGCCATTTGGGAGTTTGCCTGGGGTGGTGGGGAGAAAAGGAGACAGGCAGCAAAATAACTAAATAAGCAAATTACGCAGTATATCCAAAGTTGACAAATGGTTACAGAGAAAAGTAACACATGGAGCATCAGGTGTATGGGAAGGGGGGAAGGGTTTCTGATTGTATACAGGCTGGTCAGAGGTGGGCTCACTGAGATGGTGATATGTGAGCAATAATGTGAAACAGACAAAAGAGACACGTGGAACCCAGGGAGAGCGTTCCAGGCAAAGGAAGAGCAGGGCCGAGGTGTGGTGTGCAGGAGGCACCGGCAGGAGATGGTGAAGGGGAGAGGCAGGAGATACAGTTATAGAGGAAGCCATGGGATCACTGTCAAGGCTACAGCTCTTACATAGAGTAAGAAGAGGAGCTGTGGCTTGCTCGGGAGGCAGGGGCTGCATCACACACAGCCTTCCTCTTCAGGAGCTGTCCTCAGAATACACTCTGTACACCAGCCCGACACTCCCACCACATGCCTCGCTTGAGGACCATAAGGACTCGCATCCGACAGATGAGAAAACCGAGGATGGGAAGGAGTCAGTGAATCCCCACGCTAGACAGCTAGGACAGCTGAGGAGCCTGGACTCGCACCGTCTGAGCCCTGAGTTTCTGCTCCCTCCCTCTGCCTTTACTCCCAAGAGATAGAACCACCTCCCTCCTCATGATGCCTCCTCCCCCACCCCAGTCAGCCTCCCTCACCATCCCTGATGGGCGCACACACAGGCAGAACCCCTCCAGGCTGGCAGAATGGTACCTCCCTCACGTGCATCATCTGCCTGCCTCTGCCACCAGGAGTAGAGGCAAGGCCTGGTGGTGTGAGTCCCCATCTCATCCCTAGAACACCTGGGGCAAACAAGCAGGTCCTGACCATGGCTAATATTTAATAGGCATCGGGTAATGTTCATCTTCACAGCAACCCTGTGAAGCAGAAGCTATTACTATCCCCATTCTTCAGATGAGGAAACTGAGGTCCAGAGAGAGAAAGTCACACGCACACGATCACACAGTAAGTGGGTGCAGGAGGTTAGCCTGCGCCTAAGCAGAACTAGCCCATAGAACTTTCCATAATGATGGAAATGTGGTTACTGAACATCTGAACCAGCGTCGTGCAGCTGAAAAATTGAATTTCTACTAGTATTTAATTTTAATTAATTAAAATGTCAACAGCCACATGTGGCCAGTAGCTACCTAATGGAGTGCAACTCTATGAAACCTCTGCTCTGGGTGCCTGAAAGCGAGAGGGGGAAGGGTGACTCTCACAGGCACCAAAGGGGCTGGATTACCCCAGCCTGGCTAAGAGAAGCCCCCACGCTATGCCCATCTCTCCTGCACCCTAACCCAGCTCACCCCAGAAAACCAGAGTGGGACTCAGAGGCCCAAACTCATACCTGGAGTCAACTCAAATCCTGACCCTCTGACTTCAGGCTGCACAGGTTACTTCTCTGAACCTCTACTTCCTCATCTGTAAAATGGGATTTTAATATTAATCTGATCAACCACACGTATTTATATTATCTCAGAAGGTAATTTTTCTGATAACCCTGGATTGTCACAGGTACCCACTGAGATGTGCTTCAAGTGCTGCTGCAGAGAGGGCTAGTGCTTGGAAAGACAGGCAGCAATGACACAATACAAAGGCGAACTCTGAAGTCAGGGGCCATCCCGCACCTCAGGAGAGCCATGGAAGCGGAAGCTCATGTTAGTCTCTGTGTGACTATAAGAGAATCATCCAGGTGATTCCCAACACACCTACTTTAACTTTTTGACAATATTGCCCAAATAAAAACGCACAGCTATAAAAAAGTAGGTAATGCAGACACATCCCCCGCCCCCAGAGCTTCAGGACACCCGCTGGAGTAGCCGGGCTCTCGGAGACCCATCTCCACCGCAGAAGGTGGCCAGCCCCTTGCCCTTCTCCATCTCCCAGCTGCCACCTGCATTCAGCCAGCTCTCTCCCACACAGGTCCCTCCCCACCCACCTGTGCCCCTCCCCCTCGCTGGGGAGACAGCTCTGGCTCCCCACACAGCCAGGCTCTGGGCCCTGCCACTCTTCACTCTCCCCTCACACACTGCCCAGCTGCAGCCGCATGTGCCGCCCTGCTGCACAACTGCATCCTGGTGTCTCCCACCTCGGGGCCTTCCCTGGCCATCCCTCTGCCAGCCCACTCCCTTAGACTCTCACGTCATGGCCTGCATGCTCCAGCAGGAGCCTTCCCAAGCCCCCTCCAGCTAGTTCGTTCCCTCAGTCCCACTGAGCACTCACAAAAACAAAAACAAAAAAAGGAAGACTTGGCCCCAAATAGAGCTGGGTTCAAATGTCATGCCTGTCACTGACTGGGCCAATCCCATCACCTCTGTGTGCCTCTGTTTCCTCGCCTATAAAATGGCGATAACAGCCAGGCTCGGTGGCTCAGCCTGTAATCCCACGCCTTTGGGAGGCTGAGGTGAGTGTATTGCCTGAGCCCACGAGTTCGCGACCTGCCCAGGCAACTTGGCGAGACCTCATCTCTACAATATATCAAAAAAATTGGCCGGGCATGGTAGCGCGCACCTGTAGTTCTAGCTACTTGGAAGGCTGAGGCGGAAGGATGGCCGGAGCCCAGCAGGTAGAGGCTGCGGTGGCCAGAAGCGGCCACTGCACTCCAGTCTGGGTGACAGAGTGAGACTCCAACTCAAAAAATAAAAAAATAAAATAAAATGGCGATAACAGCTGCCCCGAGCTGCTGCTGTGGTGAGCACTGATGCGAGCAAACACTGTGAGTGCTGGAGTCGCACCAGAGAGGCTGCTCTAACTACTCACACGAGTAACACGGACAGTCTATGCATCTCTCTGTGCCTCAGTTTTCTAACTACAGAACAGAGGTGATAATATTGCCTCCCTCACAGCTGCCATGCAGGTTTGCAGAGCTAATATGCATGGTGTCTGGCACAGGAGCTCCGTGTCAGGAGTGATTAATCTTCCTGTCTGGAGAGCTCCCGGGCGGGAGCCTCAGCTAAGGAACCCAGCACGCTCTCCCTGGACTCCACCCTTAAACCCACTCTGCAAACCAACAAGCCCAGGCTGGCTGTCCCCAGAGCCCCTTCTCTGCTCTCAGGCGTCCACCAGTCCCAGCTTGGTGATCTCCAGCAGCAACAGCTCACACTCGTCATGCACCTTCAAGAGGCCCGTTCTCTCTAACACATCAGCTTCCTGGATCCTCCCCATCGCCCCCTCAGCAAAAATGCTCCCATTTTCAGCTGAGCAAACTGTACCTCAGAGACGAAATAAGGCCCCCAGGGCTCCACGGACACCAAGAGAGGTACCAACAGCATGGTTCTCACCCATGTCAGCTGGCCCCCCACAGCCCAGGTCACTGAGCAGTCCAAGTTGGGTGAGGATAAACCAGTGACCCACCAGATTGAAGAGTTTGACACCAAGCTAGGGAGGGGAACGAGGGAGCAGCAGCCACCCCAGTTCATTCGGAAAGAGCCTACAAGGTGGCAAATCAAGGCAGGCTTGGATTTCTGGCCTCACCCTTAGAAACAACATCTGCGGACGAGCTTCTCCGGCAGGACGGCTGGGCTCGAGGAACTTCCTGCAGGGACTTCTGACATGCAGTCTCCTCTTGGCCGGCCCTGGCTTGCTGTCCCTTGCGCCCAGAGCACCAGGGCCCTGCAGTGGGTGCTGAGTTGGCAGTGGGTCCTGCCCCACGGGGGCCAGGCTAAGATCCCACCCAGCGCCCCTCCCATGCTCACTCCCTCCTTCCTGGTCCTGCTCCCAGGCTGTCTCCCCCAGCTGGGCCTCTCGCTGCTTGGCTGGCTGTCCAGAAGAGCCTGCCACGGAACCACCCCACCGTGCAGCCCAGAGGCCTGGTGGTTGAAGGCCTTCCACTGAGAGCTCCGGGAAGTTAAAGAGGGGCCCAGGGAGGGGTGTCCCTGGGTCCTCCAGAGGCTTGGAGATCAACTTTGAAAGACACTCCTTTCCATTCTGCCCCCATCCCAGGGGACTTCTAGGACCCCGGGGGGTGCTCTGAAGGGGCTCTGCTCTCTCTAGGAAGATTCTAGAACAAGCCTGTGAAAATGCCAAGGCTTCTATTACTGCACTAAATCTCAGGGATAAGACTCATGGGTGGGAGTACAGTCACCCTTACCAAGGGTTACCAAGGTATGCTGGGGGAACTCTGGAGCCAAAACGCCCAGATTCAGAGCCTGTCCCCTATACTTCCTGGTTGGGAGACCCAGCAAAAGTTATAGAGGCCCTCTAGACTTCAGTTCTCATCATTCTAAAATGGGAATCAGAGACAGTTCCTCCTGGAGCTCAAGTGTCTTCACTCCTTCCATGGCTCCTTCACGGCACTCCAGTTACTGCCCACACGTCACCTCCTCAGAGAGGTCCTCCCTGATCATCCAGCTAAAATGGAGTAACATCCCCGTGCTTTTTCTCTGACTCGCATTTATTTTGCCCCCATAACTTCAAACCATAACCGCTGTTCTGTCATCGATCTACCCACTGAGCACCAGTCACCAGGACTAGTCTTTCATTCTAGAGCAGCGCCACATATGTCACAGGCCGTCAGGCTCATGAGTGGAGCAGAATGCTATTTTTATCAGCTATTACTGATATTCTGTATTATTATTTGATATTAGCCCAGTCAGTGGGGTTGGGGAGGAATGCGCAGAAAAATCAGCCCATTGAGCCTCCCCACTTCTCTCCCTAAAGGTAAAAGCCATGGTCTCTGGGGAAGCAGGAGTGAAAGCCACAGAAGAGGGAGGCAACCGCTGGGCCTTTGCTGGTTTTAAGGCAGTGATTCTACTTAAGGGGGAAGTGGAAGGCCTGTGAAACTCCCAGCCCGCCCAGCCAAATCTGCCCCCGCTACCAGGCAGGAGCCTGAGAACCTCTCATGGCTGGCAAGTCACCTTCCAACATCCTAAATCTGAGCAGGCTGCTACTGCTAAAACTCCAAACTCCTCCTTGTGGCAGGCTATGAGGCTCCAGTGACCCAGGCCCTGCCCCTGGCTTCACCTCCTCCCCTCTCCCTCACTCTGCCCAGCCACGTAGGCCTCTGTGCAGCCCATCCCCACACCTCACAAGCTCCGTCTTCCCTGCAGACCTTTGCACTATGGTTCCCTCCACCTGAAAGGCTGTTCCTTCTCATGTCCCACATGACTGCCTCACCTTGCCAGATGAGGATCAGCTCAGAGGCCTTCCCTGCAGTAGCATCTAAAGAAGTGCCCGGCTCATCACCTGATTTGAATTCACTGCCTGGCACCTCCCCTCTAACCTGCCCCATGCTCATTCACCTGTTTCATGTTGGTGCCCCTCAGCTCCATGAGGATACAGACTTTGTGAGTACACTGCCATAGTCCCAGCACCTGATGCAATGCCAGGCACAGAGTAGGAGCTCAATAAATGTCAGTGGACGAATGAAACCCTCTTCTCAGCTCTGCAATGCCCTCAGGATCAAACTGCACCTCTCACCCATGCCTACAAGCCATACGCAGCGCAGCCTCTGCCAACTCCCAGGAGCACATCTGCTGTCCCCCTGTCTATGCCCATCCTTTCCTCCATTCCCAGGGCTATAGTGGACATGCAATAAAAGCATGTAGCAGAAGGATAAAACACAGAGCCTGGGAGCTGGGCGTGGTGGCTCACATCTGTAA